TATGAGCACCAGATAGCATAATCTGCCTGGTGGTGGGTTAGCTTGGCTGCCAAATTATTTTATACTACATTATACACTAATTCCATAGAGAACAGACAACATTATCTATTTTAAAAAGAAAAGGAAGGGTGTACCAGCGCTGATATTCCAAAATAATGTAACACTCTAAATGAACCTATCCAGTTCCTCGACATTATCTATTTACCTTTACTTGTTTAAGGTTGTGTTTTATAACCTAAGTGTACTGTTAGTCTGCAATGCCTTTACTGTGATATCCTAAGGGTTATAAGAAACATAGCTAAATTGTTAATCCTGGCACTCTAAATGCTTGTTAACTATATGTCCCAAGGTGCTTACCAAGCCTTCAAGACTTTTGGCTGGCTGGGCATCTTGGGAAATGTAGTTTAACATATTTCGGATGCCAAATTTAGTTATTTATACCCTGGACTTTTCTATCAGCATCCAATCCCTAGAGGCATCAGGATTTATAGTTTATTATATAATAGTATTCCTCCTAGCAGTCACCCAGCTGTCTAACCACGTGCTATGTTATAAACCATAAAACTCTGGATGTAATACAAAAGGTGCCAAGCTGTGTAATCTTACAGGTTCCGAGATAGATAATATGCTCTAAAAACTACTGCACCCTATATTTTGTAGGCTCCATATTGCCCTACTATAAGTCAGGGCTCTCTATCCTTCTAGTGTCAACAGAAAATCCATCTTTTCTCCACAGCGCGGCCAAGGGGTGACAGGCCCTTTACCCATAGATTTATCAACCCTCTTCCATAACCCATAAGGGTATCCCTCCCATCGGTCTTCCTCAATTTCTCTCATTCTGCCTTCCACCCACGAGGGTTCCTCAATTCTAAGCACTCCCCAAGCACAAATGATGAAGATGGATGTGTGATTGATTTCTGTAGCCTCTGTCTGCGCCCTTCTGGCAGAAAATTAAAAGGCTATTAGTTAAAGGGGGGGATCCCCTCAGGTGAGGCCCCACCACAGCCTGACCATTTATCTCTGTGAATAGCCTCCTATTATAGCAAAGCAGGATGGGACCTTAGGGACAAGAGAGGGGGGTTTGGGAGACAAAGGCATGCACAGGGCTGTGGCAGCAGCAGGATTGTCTCCCATGGATCAAGAAGACTGTGTATGAGAGAGAAAATGACAGAGCGAGGGAGGGAGACGTGTAACATTTGAGACAGAGAAAGAAAAGACAAATATACACAGGGAGGGATGAAAGGTGTGACAGAAAATTAGATAATAATAATGAGTAATAAAGGAGCATATTAGAGAGTGAAAGGGGGAGAGCAAGTTTCTGTAAAAAAAAATCCCATTAGATTAGATGAGAGAAAGTGAAATATAAGAGGAATGATCCGAATTAAAGGAAATTACAGGAAAACCGTGGTAAAGCTGCAATGGTGTGCTATGCAATAATGATTTTGGAACCCATAGAAGTCAGTCAATATCTCAGGACAGTCCCAATAACAATATAGATTTGGCTAACCTTTGTCCTGGAGCAGTTACAGTTTTGCTTTCTTTTCCTGGATTTATAGCTTAGAAGGATAAAAGTGATTCTAGTATTTACCAGCTTGAATGAATAACCTCGCCAAAAAACTGAAATCTAATGTTGTCGGACTATAATGAAGCTGATTTAATCACTGAAAGTTGCAACAAGCTTACTATATTTAAATACTTTGCAGAGCCTGAAACTGTTGGCCACAGTCATTGCTACAGTCACGTCATGTACTAACACAAAGTGCCAAAAAAATAAATAAAATAGAATTGAATAAAATAAATAAATAAAGGGAATACTAAACTGGAGTTTTGTTTGGCTGTATTTGTTTTTGCTCAACATTTTGAATGGAACATGAAAAGAGGTCACAAGAAGAAATCAATGAGATTAAGCAAGAAAAAGAGACAATACAAAAAAAGAAATATATATATATATATATACAAATAGTGAGAGTTAAATCATTAAATATACCAGAGTGCAAGAGCAAAGGAGAGAGGCAGTTAACCCATCAAACACTAGCAAACTGGAAGAAGTGTGCTTCTTTTTATTCAACAGAGAATCAATCACAATTACAGAATTTCACACGAAAACATAATGTGCACTTATATATATATATATATATACACACACACACACACACACATTTCTTGATGTTTCTTGCAAAATATTATATATATATTATATTTTGCAATTAACATCAAAAAATGTGTGTATATATATATATTTCTAGATGTTGATTGCAAAAAAAAGTGTTGCCTGGCACGAGTAGGGTTAACACACGAATCTGTATTGCACTAAGGTTGTGTTCAGCCAGTGCTGGGAGCTAGTAGGGTGAATGAGGGAGGGGTGCTGTAGCTGGGACCATGTGCTCCTGGTCCTGAAGATAATGTTCTATTTATGATGCGTGCTATTGAGCAGAAGTGTGCTGCCTCAGCCAGCCCTGGGCTCAGACAGGGGGCGGGTAAATGATACTGTTCAAGGGTTTTGACCTCCTTATGCTTTGAGAAAAGACAAGTTCTGGCTTCCATCCTAGTCCCTCTTACAGAATCCCTTCAGCATCACTTGCGCATCTCAATCTTAGTCTATTCACTTGATTTGGAGTGATTCTTTTCCTCTCTCACTTAATCTTAAATGTTAGTAAATTATAATTTCCAATTGCCTATCATTTATTTTAAGCTTGATAAAATAAATCAGGATTTGTGGAAAGCTGTGTAGATTTAAAAAAACATTTAGTAATCCTATTCTTTAATCAAGACATTTTGTCTACCTTATCTATATGTCCGTTCATCTATCCATTCATCCATATATCTTTTATAACTTCTATTTATTCAGCAATCTATTCATGTATCTATCCATCTTTTATCTCCACGTCTTTCCTGAGAAAATATACCAAGCAACAAAACAATCACTACAGAAAGTCCCCAAATAAAGTATACAATTCCATTCAAAATAACATTTTATTATCTCTGACTAATAGAAAAACCAGCTAGAGGCATGATGGGAGTTAAAATCCTTGGCATTTGGAATGTTCAAATAAATCTTTCTTGGCTATAACGGTGAACATTATTTTTTTTGCGTTATGGTTCTGCCATTTTGGTCTCTACAGCCTTGTTCTCACGGTGCTTTTTCTTCAAATTATGAGTACATACGTATGTGCCCAACAAATAGAGCCTTCATAATATTAATGGCAATAATACAAGAATATTATATAAAACTCCGAAACGCTGGCGTGTTGAAGTGCGACATTACATTATAACATTTTTTTTCATGCATTTTAACCCAAAACAGACTGCCTATTTTTATTATATAACTACTATTTGTGAAATTCAAACATTACTGTAATATATCCTATACAGTAAAAGCCATGTACTGTTGATTTGCCATGTGTCGCACTGCGTGTGTGCACAGTGTGACAGCGGCAAATCAATACAGCATCAAGGGAACATTGTTGTATAGTGGGAGAGGAAAGTAAAATGTGCACAAATTGTGCAATTCTGCTAGGGGCATAGTGTAACGCATACAAGAGGTGTTTGGTCATTCAGGGGTATCACTCTGGTAAGAATTAGTTTTAAGAGAAGGTAATTATCAATGGAGATGAAAGAAACATGTTGGAAGCATAAGTAGGACTTTGTGATTTTGGCATTGCTTCAAAAGTAAAATGTAAAAGAGAGGTTTACTCTATATGGGACAATTAATAAAATGTATTTAATAGAATTGCTAGTGTCCAAGGAAGCATCTGCAATGGCTGATAACTCTGCAGGATGGAAAAATAATATTTATAAAAACATGCAAGAGAGAAGCAAAAAATCTATATAAAAAAACAAGAACAAAAAAGAATGTAATTGATTATAAGATAATCAATATAAGCAATACATAAAAAAGTCTATCAGATTAGTACAGAATCTCCAGGGGACACTATCTTTGTACAAAAGAAATTTAAGTTATTTTAAAGGAACACACCAAGCACCATAACTACTATAGTGAGCAGTAGTGGTTATGGTGCCAGGATTGCCTTGGTACTACAGTAAAGTAAGTCGTCTACAACAGTTTGAATTCTTACCAGGGATCGGCAGGCACAGCTGCATGCCATCTCACAGTTTTCTTAACTGAGCTAAGCCGGTGAGCTGGCAATGTGTGGCAGGGCTTAGATCGGGAGAGCTTCTGAATACTCCCAGGAGGAGCTTCCAGCTCTCAATTCCAGCTGTGAGGAGGCAGGGAGCAGCGCCCAGCAGGCCCCAGGTAATAAATTAACTCATTCCAAAATTGTTTTACTACTTACACTGTGGGGTGCCCAGCAGAGGCGTAACTAGAAACCACAAGGCCCCAGAGCGAAAATTGCCCTGGGGCCCCCCATACATCTATCTCCTACCCCACACGTCCCTGCCCCCTCCCACACACATGTAGACAAACAGATATACATGCAGACACATAGATACAGACACACACAAACACAAACACAAAGAGACCCATACATAAAGACATGCATAAAGACACATGTAGAGACACACACATATACACACACTCAGACATATACACACATAAACTCACAGACACACACACATACACTGACATACACATACACTTACAGACATATACACATTCAGACACACACATACACACACAATTTATTAATAATTAATGTCCACCCAGCCTCCCTACCTGGAGATGACCTATCCCTGGGGTCCAGTGGGGCTTCAGTGCGGCGGGCGGCTGAGTTCCTGTCAGACGCGGCGAGGGAGCTGTGATCTCTCTGCTCTGCTCCCTAACAGGTTGTCTACTGATGACAGGAGCCAGAATATGATGTCATATTCCGGCTCCCGCCATAAGAAAACGGCGCGCAAGGGAACAGAGCAGAGAGAACAGAGCGCCCTTGCCACGTCTGACAGGAACTATGCCGCCTGCCGAGGGGGACCATTAGGTGGCCAGTGGGCCACCTCTTGGGCCCCCCTATGACAGGGGGAACACGGAGGGGGCGGCTTCTAGGCAGCTCAAGGTCGCAGGGGTCGTGGCTGCGGCCGGGCCCCCATGCAGTGAGAGACCTGGTTGCAGCCACGACCCCTGCGACCGTGGTAGGTACGCCACTGGTGCCCAGGCATTCCTATAGCTATAACCGTTGTAGAGAACTGAAGTGGTTATGGTGCTTGGAGTGTTCCTTAAAGTTGACAAAATGAGATACCTTAAAAGAGCCACACAGACAAAAAAGGAACACTAGGAAAGATACACGCTTGAAGATGGGACTGAGGCCTGAGAAAGGGACAGAATCATGTAGCCTTTATACACTACTTACCACTTAACAACATCATAAAGTATATTTCCTACTATACAATATTTTGTGTAACATGCAGATACACTGATTATTCTTCATTAATAATAGCAAATCATTCTCACATGGATTAGGTTGCAAATTAAAGGTTGTATATTTGTAAATTAAATTAAATTATTTGAATGAGACCCTATTGGAATAGTTCATAATTCTCCTCTCCAGAACGCTGAAATAGTGTTTTGAAATAAAGTTTTACTTTAGCTCCTGGCACTGTAACGCATGAAGATCCAATTAAAGGCTTCCCATAGAGTAGCCTTTAATTGTACCATTTAACTGATTGAGTGCATGCGCACGCTTTGAGCATGTGTGAGTGATGCACATTGTATAACCACTTCTGCAGCTCTAATATTATAAATCTGACTGGTCTACAGAAGACATATAAGGGTGAGTACTTTGCAAATAACAATTCAAAATCCAGCACTAAAAGCCAAATACCTAAATTAAATAATTTACTTTAATCCTACATTTAACTATTAAACAGCCCTTGTACAAGTATTTTAACCTCTCTCAAGCTGTTAATCTTCTTAACAGTTAACACCCTATGTAATCTAACTCTGACATTAAACCCTCTCTAACATTAACCCTCGCCCTTTACCCTAACCGCTTCTAACAAGATCTTTAATTCTGCATGTATTTACATAGCTGCATATACTCACTATCTCTCAGATTTAAATACAATACATTTCAAGTAGAAATATGGCAATATATACCTTTATACATATGCAGTTGTCAAAAATGATTTTTTTTGTCCTGCAATGCCCAATTAATAAATCATTATACTTACTTTATCTGCCTTATTGTGGGGTTAGGAAGCAGGGGACAACTTAGAATTGTGTGGGTATAGGCATCTGACATGTAAATCTGGCCCTGCATGGTGAATTTGCGAAGGGTGGGAGTGAGTTTATGTTACTTTTCAAAACTAATGTAACAAAATATACACAGAGTCCTGGTGTATAACTGAAAGAATCCCAACAAACTCTAAACACCTGTGTGGTATCCTCCCTACCCTCACCAAATGTAAAAACTATACATACATACAATAGGCGGAGTTTGTAGGTTCCTAGTAAATGGTTTGAATAATACAGGAATACGTAGTAGTTTGAACTGAAAAGACAAAAAAGGATAATCAAATCCTAGTGCAATATTGTCAAGTATAAAAATATGTGTGAAGGAAATCTGTGATCTTGTACTCACAAGGATGGCGCCAGTATTATTTAGGCTCAATATGTAGGCATGTGGGAATATTAGTGGGGAGCCCTTCTTGAGCACCCGTTGGTTTCAGGTCCTCTGGTCCACCTCACAGATCCACTGGATGCGAAGTAGAGTGCAAGAAATACTTTATTTATAACAAATAAATAAAACAAATAAAATCCATTTCTGGTACTGCAAGGCATGTTTCACCTTTCTCATAGGCTTCCTCAGGGAACAGCCGGGGGGGGTTGAGGGGCATTCTACTCAGATAGGGTGGGAGCTTCCCAGAAATGCTCTTATGCACAAAGCAGAAAAGATAAAGAGTGTGTTGGGATTCCAGCAATAGCCAGTTTAGCTCTTTTAACATGTCACAGTGATGGGTAAAGTTACATTCTAGTACAAAGCGGCAGAACAAATTATATAACGTATTAAGTTTATTAAAAGACCACTATAGGCACCTAGACCACTTCAGCTCAATGAAGTGGTCTGGGTGCCTGGTTCCTCTATATTTAACCCTGCAGCTGTAAACATAGCAGCCTCTAGTGGCTCACTGAGAGCCACTAGAGCCCCCTTCTGTGATTCTCACTGTGAAAATCACAGTGAGAAGACGCTGCCGTTCATAGGAAAGCATTGAGTAATGTTTTCCTATGGGCTGTTTGAATGCGCATTCAGCGCTGACGTCGGCAGGAGGAGGAGAGTTCCCTAGCGCCGAAGGAGCCCGGCGCTGGAGAAAGGTAAGTAGCTGAAGGGGTTTTATCCCCTCCAGCCCAGCGGGAGGGGAGCCATGAGGGTGGGTGGGACCTAATGACCCTATAGTGCCAGGAAAACTAGTTTGTTTAGCCTGGCACTACAGTGCTCCTTTAAGGTGGGTTTGCGGTGCGGCTGCATACATTACATCCCCATAATCAATGACCGGCATTAGCATTTGTTGCACTATCTGGTTCCTTACTGTAGGGCTTAGGCAGGATTTGCTTCTGTACAGGGCACCTAGTTTTGGGTAAATTTTGAATTAGATTTTTTCAATGTGAAGGCCAAAGGATAGATTGGGGTCTGGCAACATACCTAGATATTTAAAAGAGCAGACTACTGTCAGTGTGCTTTTTGAATTTGTTCTGATACACAATTGTTGATTTTGTAGTTTACGTAATTTCAGTACAGTTCCAAAGATCATTGTAACAGTTTTGTCAGTGTTTAGGAAGAGTTTGTCATCCGCTATTCACTTTTCCACCTCAGTGAATTGGTTTTGGATTTCCCCCCCCTCCCCACCCTCAATAGACACACACACACACACATACATACAGACACACATACATACACACATACACACATACACAAAGACACATACATACAGACATGAGACACACGCACATAGACACATTCAGACAGACAGATACATACAGACACATACACACATACATACACACACACACAGAGACACACACACACAAGGCACACATACAAAGACACATACATACATACAGACACACACATACACACATATATACAAAGACACATACATACACACAGACACAAGACACACATACATACAGAGACACATACATACATACAAACAGAAAGGCATACATACAGACAGACAGACAGACACACACACACAAACACACACACACACACACAGACACACAATCACATACACACAAACACACACATATACAAAAATTTTAAGTCAATCTCCTGTTTCCTAAGTAGGTGCAGGACGGTGACTTTCCCTGGGGTCCAGTGGTGGCTCAGGTTGATGGGAGTCAGAGTTCCCACTTTGACTTCCCTCTCCTTCCTCCCACGCGGCTCTCTGATAGCTGGGAGGAGTGACGGACAGTCACTTCCTTCCAGCAGTGATCTCATCACAGGGGACCTGGTCACGCTGTTAAAGTGCTGAAGTGCTGACCGGGCCACCTCAAAATCCATACCCATTGGGTGCCCCTAACAGCATGGGCCACCCGATGGGCCCCTTGAATGTGCGGTACCCGGTTGCAGGGGTCCACAGGGTGGCCGGGCTCCCTGGAGTGACGGGCCCAGTCTCAGCTGCCACCATTGCGACCCCTATATGAGCCTTGGGGAACACCACATGTGACTGGAAGAGGGAGGGAAGCGCTATCAGAAATGGCCACATATTGCAATCGGTCTGAAACATACGATCAGAACCAGGTTAGTGGACGATCACCAATGCCTGAGTTTTTAAGTTTTTGCAAAAGAATGCCATGGTCTACTCTGTCAAAGGCCTTGGCAAAGTCAAGGAAAATAGCTCAAGTTAAGTCTCCTTGTTCCATGCCAATTTGGATGTCATTGCAAACTTTTAAGAGGGCAGTCAAAGTTCAGTGATTTGGACGAAAGCCTGATTGATCAGGGGTCAGATAATTTGATCGTTGATAATATTCACATAGTTGCATGTGGACAAATTTTTCCAAGTTTTTTGACAATACAGGGAGCAATGATATCGGGCAATAGTTAGATACCAAAGTATTGTCACCACTTTCATGGACAGGTACAACTTTTGCAGTCTTCCAAAGTTTGGGTATGTATCCTGACACCAGGGATTCATTGATAAGGGTAGTGACAGGTTTAGCAATTGCTGGCGCACTGAGCTTCAGCAACATTGCTGGGATTTGATCTGGTCCACACTGGTTTTTCATTTTTAAATAACAGGCTCAGGTCTAAAATTGAATTTCTTTATATGAGGATTTTGAAGATTTTGCAGGGACTGATCTTTATTTGTGGTCTGAAAATTAGTGTCATTTGTTATCTTAGCAACCAGGGTACTAGCACATCTAACAAAATAATTATTAAAGGCATTTGCTACATCTAGGGGGTGTTGCAGTGTTTGGATGCCCATTTTGACAGTGGAGGGTTTGGAGTGGATTGTGGGGGTTTGTATGCGATTTATGATTTTCCAGAAGTTTCTTGGGTTTGATAGGTTGTTGTTCAAATTTTCACTGAAATATTGGGCCTTTGCCATTTTTGTTTGTTTTGTGCATGCATGGCGCCATTGTCTGTAAGTACAGTGATCTTTTATGGAGCTCGTACGCTTGAACTTTGACCACAGTGAATCTCTAAACTGGTACATTTGAATGAGGTCAGCAGTAACCCAGGGCAGCTGTGTTCCTATTAGTCGCACTTTATGCAGGGGGATGCAAATTCCAAACACGTAAGAGCTCAGACTGAAAAAATGCAATTGCAGAGTCTAGATCTGGTATTAGACCTAATCTGTGCCATGGTGTGTTCTTGAAATCATTTAAAAAGGATTCAAGATTACATTTTCTGAAAGACTTGGTGATTATAATCTTGATAGGGGATTTAGTGGCCTTTATTTTGCATATGCAGTACACTAGACAGTGGTCACTGAAACTGTTAGGGAGAACACCTGCCTCCTGGATTCTGTCAGGACAACTGGAGAGAATCTAATCGAGCAAGGTATGGTTCTGGCTTTTAATATTAATGCAAGTTGGGAGGATATTAATTGTGTTAGCTGCAAAATCTTAAACAGCCTACATGATTTATTATTTTTAGGATTCAGCCAATCAATATTAAAATCTCCAAAAACC